CATTGTTTCGTTCTGCTGTGCATGGGGTCGCTATGAGTTAGTTCTGACTCGATGGCACCTGACAACAACAACAAAGGAGCTCTGGTAGCGTAGTGGTTACGAATCGGGCTGCTAACTTCAGGGTCAGCAGTTTGAAACTACCAGCTATTCCACGGGAGAAAGATGAAGCTTTCTGCTCCAGCAAAGATTTACAGCCTCGGAAACCGTGTACAGGGTCATTATGAGTCGGAACCGACTCCACGGCATACCACCACCACCAACTGTAATTATGGCTTGACTGGAGATTGACAAGAGCATAGTTTAGAAAAATATCAAGGGTTTTATGTTTGTAGGCTTTCCTTAGGTTAGATTTTATCTTGAGGTGTCAGTGAAAAATTTTAAAGCCAAATGTAATTATGTAACAAAAATATTGCTCTGGAATAATGTACAATGGAAGACTAAGGGCAGTGGGACCAAGTAGCACACTGTTTAGAATAGTCAAGGCAGCAGATGACAAAGGCCTGGACTAGACTTTTGGTAAGAGAAATGGAGAAAAGCAGATGAATTTGAGAATAAGGATGCAAGCAAAAGCAACAGTACTGTGGTTGAGTGAATGTGCACATATACTATAATTCAAAATACAAAGAAGTATAGTATAAATCCTAGGTTTCATATTTAATGAGTGATTGGTGGTACTATATACTGACATTGGAAAATGCAAAAAAAAAAAAAAGCTTTGTTCTTAAAACAAAATTGATTAATTATTCTCAAAATACTATAAACACCAATGTTTCTTTTTTAAAAACTCAAGGTTCTATTTAATAATTGAGAAAGTTTCAGATTTTAGGAAGTAAAATAGCACAAGAAAAGTGAAGCTTAAGGAGACACATTATAGTAACTTATATATTCCAGCAGAATATTGTTAAGTGTTGTTGAGTTGCTTCTGACTCAACCCTGTTTGTTTAGGGTTTCCAAGGTTATAATCTTTACAGGAGCAGAAAGTCTTACCTTTCGCCTATGGAATAGTTATAGTGCTGGAACTAC